CGCAGGGTGCTACGCCGTTACATCAAGCGTACGGCCAGTTTTCGCCGTTCGGAGTTGTTATTTGTTTTCTTTCAGCTGTCATCTCAGGGCAGGAAGGTTTCCTCGTCTACGATTGGCGGATGGCTTAGGGCCTACATCGCTCTCGCTCATGTTCTTCAGTCTCGACCGGTACCCAGTCGCGTCATGGCGCATTCAATCAGGAGTGCTGCCACCACTGCCGCCTGGGCAATGCAGGCTCCTATTGAGGAGATTTGCATTGCGGCCACATGGACTTCCTTATCTCCATTTGTGCGGAATTACAAGTTAGACAAGTTTGCTTCAGTAGACGGGGCCTTTGGGAGCTGTGTGCTGCAGGGTATTCATTCCAGTGGAGAGACCCTGACTGCTTCTGCTTCCCACCCTAGTGATATTTAGCTTGGGTATGTCCCTTGCTTGGACTCTCCTGAGCAGCGCCCTGGAAAAGGACCATTGACTTACCTGAAGGGTCGTTTTCAGGGCGCTGCGAAGGAGAGTCCAACCCACCCTGGGATCTAGCTCCATAAGTTTGGATGTTCCAGTTGGACTTGTTTATTGTTGTATTGTTGTATTCCATTGTTGGACTTCTCAGCGCACAACGGTTCCACGTCTTCATTGAAAAAATCTGAAGATAATCAGCATGAGAGGCGTGGCTTAAAGTTTCAATTTGGTTCTGGGCAGTTTGGCCGTATTTAACCCTTGCTTGGACTCTCCTTCGCAGCACCCTGAAAACGACCCTTCAGGTAAGTCCAATGGTCCTTTTGGATGATCTCAGGCGGGAGCAGGATGGGGCACTGCATCTCTTCTGGCTCTGCTTGACCTCTCGGCAGCCTTCTATACCATCAGTCTCCTTCTGGAATGGAATGGGGCTTCACTTCCTCTGTGGCCGTTCTCAGTCAGAGTTGCTTAGAAGCCAGAGATCTGCCCCCCGTCCATGGCTTAGTACTTTCTCCCCTTTTGTTTAATATCTGTGTGAAGCTGCTGGGTGAGATCATGCGCCACCATGGGCTGAGTTATCATCAACATGCTGATGATGCCCAGCTCTCTATCTCAGTCCATGGTGAGCTAAGTGATTTCTGTGACTTCCCTCTCACAGTGCTTGGAGGCAGTTAAGGGCTGGATGGGGAGCAATGGGCTGAAACTGAACCCTGGTATGACAGGATGGCTCTGGTTTCCATGGTTTTCTTGGTCTATGGAGAATTGCCATCTTTGGTCTTGGATGGGTTGGCACAGCCCTAGAGAGACCCAGGCGTCATCCAGGGGTTCTCCTGGTCTCCCGACTCCTGCTTGAGGAGCAGGTGGCAGCCATGGCCAGGAGGGCCTTTGCACAATGCAGCTGGTGTATCAGTTATGCCCTTTCCCAAACCAAAAATCTCTGCTCACAGTCACTCACATCTTCGTCATCTTGCAGTGCACTGTATATGGGGCTGCCCTTGAAAAGTATGGGGAAGCTTCTGTTGGTTCAAAACAGCAGTGGCTGACATGATTTTGTGGTGGCCTAGATGTGCACATGTATCCTCTTTCCTCCATTGGCTGCCGATTTGCTTCTGGCTCCAATTCAAAGTGCTGGTTGTTACCTTTAAAGCCCCACGTGGCTTGGGACCAGGTTATTTGAAAGACCATCTTCTCCTGGTCACATCTACCTGACCCACCAGAGTGAGGAGGCAGAATGCTGTGAGTCCCTTCTCCTAAGGAAGTTCATCTAGTGGACCAAGAAAAAGAGCCTTCTCTGTGGTGGCTCCCTCCCTATGGAACATCATCCCGCAGAGACAAAATGGGCCTCCAGTTTGACGATCTTTTGCAAGGCCCTGAAGGCTTGTTTTTGACTAAGGGTTGTCAAAGATCCTTTGCCAGGAACACCTTGGATAATAGGTGAAGCTCTGCGGAATTGTTTCCTACATCTGGTGGTTTCGGCTGTTGAAAGCAGACACAACAATAAGTGGCTTATGTAATATTAATTCCTGTGCTTTGTTTCTTCCCTTTGTCCATCTTGCTGATGAAGTTCTGATCTTTGGGCTCTGGGCTGCATCGTGTACCAGCTTGTAGCAGGGTTACCACCTTTCCGAGCTGGGTAAGGCAATGTCCTGAATTGTACCGAGTTTCCAGTTTTTAGAAAGGATTTCCCGAATCCTCATACAGTAGGAAGCAAAGGAGAAACAGGGAGGGGTTGGAATTTCTGACTCTGGAAAGAGTGCTGTGTCTTTGCTTAATAATGCTCCCTAGGTAGATTCCTTGCTGTGCTCTGCTCTGATTCCCTTAAGAGACACTGAATGGGAATAAAAAAGGGAACTTTCTCGTGGACCATCTAAAGACACTCTAGCCAGACTCTCTGTAGTTACAGTTGAAGCTACATTGCTCTTTTTCCTGCCAATTTGTTTGAGTTTGACTAATCATTGTTTAAGGCTTGATATCTGCTAACTGATTTGTTGAATGCTACAGTTGTTGGTTTCATACAATTTTAAGAAACAAACTATAGTGTTTGGACCACAATGGTTTTGATATATTAAGCCACAAGGGGCAACTTAATATGGTTTAACTTCTGAAGACAAACATAATTCAGCCATGGCTTAAGCAGAATGTATGGCTCAAGCCTGGCACTCGGCAGCATCGGAGTCCCTTGACCGGATTGCGCCACTACGGCCACTCCGAGGTGGCGGATCCCGGAGGCCTCCTTGGTTTACATCCTGAAACTCAACCCAGCGATGGTCCGCCAAATTATCCTCCTGTGCTTCGGCTGGATCTGCAAAGGTGGAGTCCAAATCCGACTGAAACCGAGCAACTATGTCCGCTAAGAACAGGACATAGTCTTCAGCCCTACCCTGCAAGGAGTCCCCCGTATCTCTCCTATTTAGGAGGGAACAGGTTATCCTAAACAGGGC